ATAATCAGCACAGTTAGGGCGATTGGACCGGGAATGGTCAGTTAACACACCAGTTACATTAATAGAACCAAGACTTAATAAGTACATGATTTTTCCATAGTGACTCAACCATGTTTGAGCTTGAATTGTAAGACAGCTGTGGCTGAGCAACGTCTTTGTGGTGATACACAAAGGGAATCCTTCCAGTGGAGCGGTGTAATTAATGACATTGTTCTGAGAGTCTAAATGTTCTATGTCAGGGGGAGTGAGGGGTCCTGGAGCCGACTCTCCCTGATCGTGATAAATCTCAGGAGGAGTGAGCTCCAAAGTATAGGCTGTACTACTGGGAGATGAGAACATATGCCCAATATGTTTTTGCCTGTGCACAGGGAAAACATACCGCACAGGACATTATGGCTAGCATGGCCAAGAACGTGGAGTCAGGGGTTTTTGCCTGTCCCTGACGCTCCAGTAGTTTCTTAACTTCCTGCGTGGTTTTCTTGAGTAGTCCCCAGGTTATGGGGGTTGATGTCATTGTGACTCTGGTTGGCCTTCTCTCCATCTTTGCACTCAGGCTCAGCTGACTCATGGCTCGTATAGGAGGGACCAGGCCCATGGTTGGCCACCCTGGGTTCCTTCAGCCTCCCCATTCCATGGTCGCACGCACCTTGAGGGCACCACATGGCTTGTCCATCTCCTGTAAAACACAAGCATACCCTCATCCCCATGTCAGTAAATCCACTGGGCCTTTCCATTGTCCTTCTTCTGGGGATTTCCATAACCCTTTCGTATAAACTTTCCTGTTTTCCTCTAACACTTGCCAATGTCTTTCTGCTGGAGTCTCACCATCCGTACCAGGAGTCAGAAAATTTAAAGTGAATAAGGCTAAATATAGTTTTGATTGAGGTGGTAGTTGGCCTCCTATACACCCTTTTTGTCTTTTCAACATGCAGTGTAATGTTTGATGTGCCCATCCTATACATTTTACTGACACATCAGCTCCTGTATACATAAGCCCATAAAATGTCTTTCCTTTAATTTGTACTACATGGGTAGGTCTATTAGAGGCTATGGGTTGGCATAGATAGATTTCCCGTGTAGTTGTGCTCCCAAACCCTTTATGTCCTCATTTCTCTTTTCATGGGGAAGGGTGTACTTCACTGGGAATAAGCAATAATTGAGCAATATATTCTCCTGGTTCAAAAACCCAAAGATCTTGTGACATTAAAACTACTTGAATTTCTCCTTCGTAATCGGAGTCAATCACTCCTGGGACTACAGTGATGCCTTACAAGTTAAGGCGGTTTTTGTCTAAAATTAGTCCCGTGTGTCCTGTTGGTAAAGGTCACCAAATACCAGTGGGAACTTTGATAGGTTTGTCTCCCCTAACTAATGTGATTCTTTCTCTGGTGGGTAGATCTAATCCTGCACTTCCTGGTGTTCCTGGGTTGAGGGAGTCAATGTGCCTCCAGGAATGCATCCCTGAAACGGGGTTGTGATCTGCACTGGGAATACCCTCATTGTTTGAAGGGCCCGGGTCCAGGCCCCTGTCTCGTTTACTGACGGTGGGTGAGGGGGTGCCATTCTGATGAAATTTTGAGCAGCACTAGTTAGCCCAGTGATTTCCTTTGTTACAGTGAGGACAGAGTCCTGGTGTTTTTTCTGCTGGGGAGTGAACTGCATTGTAATATCCTTTCTGTCCTGAGATCTGGCAGCATTCCTTTTTTAAATGTCCAGTTTTTCCACAATTATAATATTTTCCCATTTTAGGGTTTGACCCTTGGCTCCTTTTAGATTTGTCAACTGCTAAATTAGTCATTGCTTATGCTAACATTGCAGGTCGATGAAACTGAGTTCCTATATCCTGACAAGCTCTGAGAAAATTTCCCAAGATTTTTGTACCCCTCACCAGTGCCAGTGCACGTTTACAATCCACGTTTGCATTCTCAAAAGCTAAAGTTAAGGTTAGCATTTCTGCAGCCATAGTACGAGGAATCTAATGCTTCACTGCCTTTTGTAATCTTGCAAGAAATTGTGCATAGGGTTCCTGTGACCCTTGCATGATATATAAAAAGGATCGTGCTGGGACTCCCTCTTCAGGATTGTGGCCCGGGCGTGTTTAGCGGCCTGTGCACACTGCTGATAAGCAGCATCTGGGAGTGCCATTTGATGTTCTAGGTCTGAATAAGGGCCATTACCTAACAGCATATCCTCTGTAATGTCTCCGTATCGAGCAACACGGTTCTGTTCAGCCTGGTCTGCACACATTTCTTGCCAATTTAAATTCCATGTCAGATATGCACTAGTAGACAAGCAAGTTCACGCCAAGTGTCTCACATCAAAGGGTGAAAGACGCACAGCACCAAACACAGATTCTAGCAATCCTAAGGTGAATGGGCTCCGTATGCCATTATTTACCACTCTTGCTTTTAATTCCTTCAGCAACTTAAACTCCAGTGGGGTGTGTTCATGAATAACCTGCTGTGGATTGTTTGGATCAGGCCTTATGGAAATAGGAAAAGCACAGGGTCCTAAGGGCTCTCCAGCTATGGCAGCAGAGCATGAAATTCTTTGTATTGGGGTCTCTATTTCTGCCACCGAAGGAGGCTGTATAGATGTTTCTGCAACTGGAGGAGGCGGTATAGGCCAGTTTTTATCCTCCCTCTCCTCCTGTTTTTTATTTTCAGTTGGAGCTGTGGGTGGGACAACAGATTCTTTCAGATTTTTAGATTCAGCCTGCTGTCCCGCAGAATAATAAAGAGATAATGGCAGAAATACAGTACGAACTAACTCCAAGTAGATAAAACAGAAGAATCAACTTTAAAACCTTTTGGTTGAACCTGTTTTAATCCTTCGCCTGCTCTATCCCACTTTTCCACATCAAGAGTGCCTCCCTGTGGAAACCATGGGTTATGCGTAATAACTTTTTGTGGCTTCTGCAGGAGGTTAGTAAGTGTCTGCGAATTAACCTGAGCTCCAGACTGTCTCAACAGAACTTTAAGCAACTGCACATCATGTTTTTCTTCAGTAGACAAATTCTTTCCCTTGTTACCCTGATTCAGAAAATTTTCCAGTACTTCTTTAAAGCACTGCTCCCAGTGCCTCTTTAGGGCACTGACCTTATATCCACTGCCAGCAGACTCATCCCGGGGTCCCCGTTCACCTTGTCAATTTCAGTTCCCCTGCTCCAGCAGACCTTCATTCACATCCTTGAAGTCCCATGTTCGGATGCCACTAGTTGGGTGTCCTTGGAGTGCCTGTTCTGAGTTGCCATTTGTAACCTGCTCCGACCTAGGTGGACTGAACAAAGAGGGGCGAACACAGGAATAAAGACAAAAGACAAAAGAGTATATTTGTAAGAAGGGATCAGGGGGCACCTTGCCTCTAGTGGACAAGGGCCCTGAGCTTTACACAGCCCTCCATATTTATTAGGCAAAAGAGATAGTGAGAAGGTGGGGTGGAAGAAGGGGTCAGCTGCTCAGTCCAGAGTAGGGTTTGCAAGACTGCATTCTCTAGATGTTGCAGTAGATAACCTTGGTGCCAGGGAGTGATTGCCTCCAGCAAACCTTCTGTCGGCGCGAGCAGTCGTGACATTGCTCACATCCTGCATTCATGATAAACGGTTTGCTGTTTGATCATTTGAACGTGGGAGGCTGAGGTTGCAGTGAGCCAAAATCGCACCATTGCACTCCAGCCTGGGCAACAGAGCAAGACTCCATCTCAAAAAAAAAAAAAAGAAAAAGAAAAACCCAGATGTTATTCGATTTTAATTTTTAATCCATTCTAACAGTTTTGAGGCATTTATATTTAATGTAATTAACTGGAATCCATGTTCTGTTTTTACTTAGCATAAATTCTTAATGTAATGTAATTTTCTTAGTACATTTTATTTTAAAACAGCTATCCAAATGCATTGTATTTGCTCTTTTTGCTCTCTGTTTTTGATTCTCTTCTTTTGGATGATTTTCTTACTATTATTTTTCCCCCTTTTGTTGGCTTGGAAATTATGTACTTTAAAACAATTACTAGGTTTTTTGTTGTTGTTGTTGTTGTTGTTGTTGTTTGTGAGCGAGAGTTTCGTTCTTTTTGCCCTGGCTGGAGTGCAATGGCACGGTCTTGTCTCATGCAACCTCTGTCTCCCGGGTTCAAGTGATTCTCCTGCCTCAGCTTCTGGAATGACTGTATTTTTAGTAGAGATGGGGTTTCACCATGTTGGCCAGGCTGGTCTCAAACTCCTGATGTCAGGTGATCCGCCCGCCTTGGCATCCCAAAGTGCTGAGATTACAGGCGTGAGCCACTGTGCCTGGACTTACTAGTTTTAATTGTAACACTAGAGATTACATGTAGTGTGCAACCTTTGTCATATTCTTCTGCTAATTAGGACTTTTCCATTCTACAGAAACCTTAGAGCACGTCAACTTCATTTACCACCTAATTTATCCAGTAAATTATTGTGTATTTTAGCTATTTATGTATTTAAAACCTCCTAAAATATTGTCACTACTGTTTTTATGACAATGCTTATGATTTGCCCAGTACATTGGCTTTCAAACTGAAGTACATGTCCTCACAGGGTGTATGTACAAAGACTTTTGAAGAGGTGTGTGAACACACGTGATTTAAACGAAAACAAAGACCAGCTCCTCTCTTTGCTGTCTCTTTTCTAAAACTAATCTGCCTGAGAGTTCACCAGCTCCTGAAGCATGGTGCTATGGTGGGTCTTATTTCCTGCATGCCTTCACAGTCCTTTCACAGAAACCTCACAGAGGAAAGGCATACTTCCACCACAATAAGAATCTTCGACATTATTGGCCAGAGGGATAAAATCTTCTGGGGCTCCAAATAAAGGTATAGTTAACTATATTGGGGGCATTGTTTTAAGATGCGTGCCTAGGAGCAGTGACAGTATCTGGGCCCAGAGAAAATGTACCACTTACATTGAATTTGTTCCTCAGCCCACAGGTTCTGCCTCCTCAGGAGAAAAAGCATCGCCCGAAGAGGGAGGAAGTGGATTTGGGTATCACCATTTCTAGGGGCACACTTGATTGAAGACTGAGACTTCTGAAGAGAAGTCCAGAAGATACAAAGACAGACCATCCCAGTTGAATGCTCTTTTCCAAGAACAGAAGAAAATGATCCAGGCCCAGGTAACTGACTTATGGTTTGTTTTATTCTTTTATTTGTTCCATAATAGATTTGTAGAAGCCTATACACATCTATCTCACTAATATAAAAAGTAAAAATTTTAAAAAGCAGGATCTGGAGATAAATGAGCTTAGTTTTTAAACTCAATATCATGCAAAATAGTAGGATAAGGAAGATAATGTTCATAGCATTAACAGTGAATTATGAATTTCGTGACATCATGCATGGCTGGAAGATACTGTGGGTTATATTAGCTGTCAGCTTGCATCTAATATCTCTAACAGCCAATATCACAAGAAAATCATGATTCACATGGTATGTCCTGGTTTTGAATATAAAACAGATTACTTCCTGGGGGGATGCCATTATTTCATGGCACTTTTTTCTCAGGAAATTTCTTCGGTGGTTCTTCCTAGAGGTGGTGTGGCGGATGGTGTCCAGAATAGCAGCTTTCTCATAAATGCAGATGCAGGTTTCCTGTGGCTATTTCTTGAAGGATTCCTTATGTACCGCTATGGAATATGAAGGGGGCCAGCCCCTCCACACCTGTGGGTGTTTCTCATCGGGTGGGACGAGAGACTGAGAAAAGAAATAAGACACAGAGACAAAGTATAGAGAAAGAAAAGTGGGGCCCAGGGGACCGGTGCT